ACACACACACACACACACATACACACACACACACACAAGCACACACACACACACACACACACACATCCTGACACACACTCAGACATTGTGTAGTGCTCTTCGCATTCCTTCAAGGAGCATACACAATAGAGGGTGTGGCAAAAGAATACATACTTCTGAAAAACCCATTCATTTCTCCAACAAAAGGAACATACACAAAAAAAAACGCATACTGCTGCTGTTAGTTTGAAAACGGAATAAGTGTGTGTTTCCTCTGCTGTTTTTGTCGAAACACAATGACGCATGTGATGTGGTATAAACCTTTAGTGTTTTACGTTCTTCTCGACACAATAAAGATCATAAGAAAGCTGGTAACTGCAGTCCTACCTGTTCTCACGACCTGCTGTCCGAGCAACTGTTTGAACAAACGACCTCTTCCCACCCATCCTCCCCACCGCCTTGCTTAAAGAAAAAAAAAAGTTGTTTCTACACACCCATCAACACAATTCGGATCATTTTTAAGAGGCGGCTTCGACTCTTCAGGGTCAACCCGGGCTAAGAGGGATAACAACATCACAGCTGAAAAACCGAGATATTTGATTAAACATCCCCCCCCCCCCCATCCTCCTCGGGAATCGAACTCAGGCCTCCTGAGTGGAGTTTTGCACGGACGCAGAAAGACTCCAGCGAACAAGAACAATCGTCATATTTCTTTGAGTTTTACACCTTATTCAACACATGTTAGTCATGTCGTTGATGGCCACTAGGTTTCGTGGTGACGCGGAAAAAAAAAGGGGGGGGGGGATCTTCAGAGGAGCTTGTCTATACTTGGATATATACGAATCTTGGAGTACATAAAATCTATCAGCAAAAAAAAAGTTTGAATTATAATGTTATATATTTATTATGGTTGAAGTTGAAGGTCTTTCTAGTCAAACACAATGCATCCGTGTGTCATATTGGGGGAGAGAGCACTCAATTCACTGTCTGGAAATAAAGCTATGAGAAACACCTGTCCTTTTTTTCAGGAGATTAGTGAAGAATGTAACACAACTAAGCCAGAAAGCATGTAAAGCATGTCGACTCTACTATTTAAATCCATTTATTGCTTCCACCTCATTCTTGCCCCCTCCTACCTTGCTGAATTTAATGTAGCCAACCCTTCTCCACTAGCCTTCTTTCTCATTTCTTTGTGTTCTTGGTGGATTAATTATTACTAGCTTTTTCTATCATACAAGTGTGTGGATGTGTGTGTGTGTGTGTGTGTGTGTGTGTGTGTGTGTGTGTGTGTGTGTGT